TAACTACTTAAATACCAGAAAAATGGTTTAAGTTGAAGCATTTAACTGATTTCCCAAATTGATTTAGCCGCATTTGTTACTTTATTAAGAAATTTGAGCTTTAATTGCATTTGGGCAACGAGTCATTTATATTCTGAACTCTGCTTCAAGTTTTTGTATCTACCTTGAACCTTTGAGTAGGCACTGTTGCTCCTACTGGAATGGTTAACTTCCAGTATTGACTTCCTCACCTCTTTTTCTATGTTAAGGCACAAATTTTATAGGTTTATTCATATGTCAGAATATTTAATCAGTTGAATTTGGAGGCATGATTTTTTATGCCAACCCTTTTGATGGATAGTTAAAATTCCTTAATTACTTCAGTTACTGAACCTAAAAAAAATTTCCAAGATTTGAGTTTATTTTTCAGCAATAGGCAGCAGTGTTCTTTGGGGCAGACTTAATGTCAGCATTTTTTCATTCCAGAATATCTCCTAGTATCTTCGTAATTAAATTTATTTATTTATTTAAAGGATTTTTGACAGAGACACAGCGACAGCAGGAACACAAGCAGGAGGGGCAGTGGGTGAGGGAGAAGCAGGCTTCCTGCGGAGCAGGGAGCCTGATGTAGGGCTCCATCCCAGAACCCTGGGATCATGACCCTGAGCCAAAGGCGACACTCAACAAATGAGCCACCCAGGCGCCACTAAATTTTTTATTCTTGATAAGTGTCCTATCTGCTTTGTTCTGTCATTTTCCAGGGAGCTGGGTCAGCAAAGGTGGATGTTAAAAGAGGTGGCAAAAGAAAAGATTTCCCCACTGCCACAATGAAATTTGGGTTGTAAATGGTATTAAAGCAAATGTAGTACAAGTTATTTGAATAGTGTGACAAAATAATTCAAATGAATTCTCAGTGAATGTTACAGGTAATCCATTCTGAGAGAACATCCCACTCTGGGAAATCTAGCTGTTGTAGCTATTCTGGTAGTGTCCTCATGACCCCCCAAATATGCCAGTGTAGTTTCTGTCCATCGTAACATTACCATTTTCCTTGAGGGGCAATGCAGTTTATAGCACAATCTGTCAAGGGCTGTGTGGCCAGAGTAGGGGAGAGGTACTTGTCCTTATTACAAGGAACCTACCTTCGGAACCCAATTAACAGAATTGTGTGTATATGGGGGGTGGGTCGTTTTATACAACTGACATCCTCATGGATGGCTGGTTAGAAAATTGGGAGGTTTATGCCATTAAGCTATATTGTGTCAGTTTGAATTTGTTTCCCGGTGGATGGTTTTGTTCTTTTTCTTCTTAAGTCTGCACAGAATCTGAAGGACAATGAACATACCTTTGGAAATGAGCCTTGGGCTAACACTACCTTTTGCAGTGCAACTTTGAGGAAATCTAGACTTAGTTCTTCACCTTTAAAATGGTAAGAACAGCATCAACCTTATGGGGTTGAATAACAAGAGTTTATTAGAATCTACAAAAAGTTCCAGGCATGGAAAATTTTTCTAACTTTGGATTTAATAAAGACAGGATTTGAGAAACAGACCCCAAACCTACTCATTGGCCCATCTCAGCAGCTTTCTCTAAGCTGGGTATAGGCAGAAGAAAAAATGCCTTTAACACACTCCGACTACTCAAAGACTTGTTTTATTATAGTACATGAGCTGGGACTGATGGGAAGGAGTAGCTGTACTGGGCAACCACTGCCCTTATCAGCATCGGATGCCCATCCCGATGGCCATGAATGTGCCAAATGTGCCGCCACTCTGCATCATGGTTTTCCCGATGCCGCCCATCAGCTCCCGACCCCGCATTCCGATCCTAAGAGAGGAGGAAATGAGTATGGAGCCAACTGGGAATAAATGGGAATAAAAATACAAGAAACGGCATTAACTGCCCTTTTCCAATTTGTTTTCAAAGTAAATCAAGCACTCTTGAAGTTGGGCAAGACATTATTCCCACCCGAGGCAGGTAATGACTAGAAAAAGATGCATCAAGGTCTCTAGGGGTATTCTGATGAATATCCTATGACCTGCCTTCAGTTTGTGAGAGGCAACTGATGCAAAGTATATAGTGAAACTAGTTTTTTGTTTTGCTTTTACCTCGAGGATATATATACATACACACACACCCATAGGCTCCAATTTGTCTGATGGTTTCCTGGTGTTAAAGGAATGATTGTGGAGTCAGATCTGTGTTCGTGCCCCAGCTCTGCAATTTACAGGTTGTGCTAACTAAAATGGGGATCATAACCACAGGAGAACACATGCAGCATTTAGAACAGTGATTCACACTGGGTAAGTGCTCAGTAAATGGTAACTTACATTGTGGAAAAATGGGAATAATAATCTCTACTACATGTGAAAATGACATTTAAGATGTAGGTGTAGAGTTTATCTGCTCGGTATCTATACCTTGTTTGCAGTACAGTAAAATTGCTCAACTTTGTTTCACTATGCGCAACTGGAAATAACAGCAGCGACAGCAGCAACAACCATTTATTGAGCACTTAATAATGCCACATTCTGTCCTAAGTTTGCTCTGATTTGATCCTTACAACTCTATGAGGTAGATGTTACCTCTTTCTACTCTTAAGAAAACCCAAACTATAACGTGGTTAAGGTTACAGGAGTAGAGTCAGATTTTCTGACATTCAGTTTGAGTCAGAACTCGTATTCTCAAGCGCCGAGGCAAGGTGAGTAGGAAATCATTCTCGCTCGTTAAAGGACAGCGAGGGAATTGAAACGAAGTAGACTCTATCCAGGCTGCCGGCCAAGTGGCGCGGGACGGGAAGGTCCGGTAGTCCCGCCCAGAGATCACCGCCCGCGCCCCTCACCTGAGACAGGAAAAGGTGCCGAAGAGCGCCCCGGCCGCCATGCCCACTGCGCAGCCCATCACAAAGCCCATCTTCACGCGGTCGAAGCAGCTCGGCTGAGACTGTCCGTAGGGCCCCACGGCCACCGGCATCTGCGGGGTTCGAAGGTTAGGGGAGTGTGGGCCTAGCCGCCTGCCCGAGTCGGGCGGGGGCCGGAGGAGGAGGGGTGGGGAGCGGATCCAACGGTTCGGGGAAGTCCAGAAAGGAAAATAAACACGTAGCCCTACTCCATCACCCTCTTAGCGTTCGGGTCCCCGCGCCGCGGTGCCCCCCACCTCACCTCGTTCGCGGCTTCGGTCGCTCAACTCTACGTCTCACACAAAACGCGAGGCGGAGCGCGCCCGCGGAGGGAGGAATTGTTTCCGGGGCACGGAGCAGAACTTCCGGGAGCGCGTAGCTGAGGACTGCCGCCGCTTCGGGCGGGGGGCTTTGCCTGCGGGACCATGCTGCTGCGAACCGCTTGGAGGCGGGTGGCCGCGGCTGTGCCGGTCGCTCCGGGGCCCAAGTCCGTTGCGCCCACTCGGGGGCTGCGCCTGCGCGGTACGTTCCGGGCCCTGCTCGTCGCCACCGTCCCTGCAGGCGCGGACCTTCCCCCTTGGCGTGGCGACGCACCTGAGTATTACGGAGCCTCCCTCTTACGTCCATTACCCAGACCCCCTGACCCTGCCTTCTGGCTGCACCCCTCAAACTTCCTCAGGCTCGCGCTCAGACTCGTTGACTTCGCCGCGTCGCCCTTCAGATCCTGCCCCACAGGCCCTCGGATCCTTGGAAGCTCGGTCGGCCTTCAGACCTCTCCTGGCCAACTTTAAGAGATGCTGGTCGTCCAGCCACTAATCTTTGAGGGAGATCTTACCTACTCTGTCTCCTTAGTCCTTGTAAATGGCTTTGCCCTTTCGGATCCCTCCCAGCTCCCAACGAAGCAATTCGAATATTGTCCCAACATCCCCCTCCAAGATCATGGTCTGTCTCCCTTCCTTTTACAGTTTAAGTTCTGTGATGTTTTGTTTTCTTTTCCACTGAGCTTCAACCCCAGCATCCTTTCAGCTCATCTCACCTTCATCCAGCTTTCACCTTCTGCTGTCTTGGATACCCTGTATCCGTAGGTTTTCTCACGCTTGGCCACTCCATACCTTTTTTTTTTTTTTTTTTTTGTCAGCTGTAGACCGTTTTCCTCAGTCGGCTGTTCCCTCAGATACAGCCACTGCCCCACAGGCGGAGTCAGTGCTGCGACCTCTGTATATGGATGTGCAAGCTACAACTCCTCTGGTAAGGATGGAGGAACAGCTTTCCCCAATGCTGTTTATAACAGTTATATTGCAGAAGTGACAATGCACAGAAATGACTGGATCCTGCAGAAGTGAGAGCCATTTCGAAGTGTGTGTTGGGAAAAGCAATGAGCCAGAAGTCAGGAGGTTTAAGTTGTCATAAACTAGAAATGGCTCTACTACTTACTAGCTATTGACCTTGGTGAAATCACTTCAGTGTAGGCACTATAGTAGGAATAAAAGCATAGGCTCTGGAATTAGCTGGATTGCTACTTACTATGTGAATTTGGGTAGGTATTAAATAGATTAAAAGACATAAAGCAACCCTTTAAACAGAACCTGGCACATGATAAGCACTTCAATATTAGTGGAAGATTTCATCAACATGGGGACTCTTGTCATATCCTGGCCCTTATAGATCCCATCACCTGGTAGGAATGGAAACACGTGCAGAAACAGCTGTCAGGACAAGGCAAAGTTTGTAGATTACCTGAGGAGATGGTAGAATAATCATCTGGTAGAATGATTAAAGGTGGGTTGAGAGTGGGAGTATATTAGGCTGATATTTGTTTAGTACCTGAGGGGATGGAAGAATGTTTGAAGCTCAATCTAGGCAGTGTGTGAAGGGTTGGGAGTGTGTTGAGGCAGGTTGGGCAAGTCTGAGGGGATGGAGTGGGGCCTGAGTGATCTATGGACTCAAGGAGACTGATCTGTTCTGTTGTGCTCAGGACCCTCGGGTGCTTGATGCCATGCTCCCTTACCTAGTCAACTACTATGGGAACCCACACTCCCGGACACATGCTTATGGCTGGGAGAGTGAGGCAGCCATGGAACATGCTCGCCAGGTTAGTATAGAAGACTCTAGGAGGTTCTGATGTCAGAGGTTCGGTGGACTGTGGGAGGCATTTCCTTGATAGCTCTGGGTGGAGATGGAAGTGGATTGGGGCTCTTTCAGAAAGAGATTTAGAGAGCAGGCCTGGGAGTCTCTCTGAAGGCATTTTATTAGTTTTTACATTTCCTAACTAAATGAACTTTGGAATGTTATCTAATTTCTCTAAGCCTCAATTTCCACACATTGAAAATGGAGATTGTAATAGTTCCTATTCCTTAGGGTTTTTGTGTGGATTCAATGAGATACTGCTGATGATGTGTTTATTAACACATGCTTATACATACTAAGAGCTCAGTAAGTGCTTTTTATTTTATTATTTTATTTTATTTATTTTTTAAGTAGGTTTCACGCCTAGCATGGAGCCTGATGTAGGGCTTGAACTCATGACCCTGAGATCAAGACTTGAGCTGAGTGAGATCAAGACTCAGTGGCTCAGTGTATAAGTGCTTTCTAAAAAGCCAGTGTTGTGGGGTGCCTGGGTGGCTCATTCGGTTGAACATCAGATTCATGATTTTTACTCTGGTCAGGATGTCAGGGTTGTGAGATGGAGCCCCATGTTGGGCTCCACACTCAGCCACACTCAGTGGGGAGTCTGCTTGAGATTCTCTCTCCCTCTTCCTCTGCCCCTCCCTCCGCTCACGCTCACTCACTTGCGAGCACTCTCTCTCTCTCTCAAATAAATAAATACATCTTAAATAAATAAATACATACATACATAAATAAAAAGCCAATATTGGGGCACCTGACTGGCTCAGTCAGTAGAGCATGTGGTTCTTGATCTCCGGGTTGTGAGTTTGAATGCTGCGCTGGGTGTAGAGATTACTTAAAAATAAAATCTTTGGGGAGCCTGGGTGGCTCAGTCAGTTAAGCTTCTGCCTTCTGCTCAGGTCATGATCCCAGCGTCCTACTTATTTTTTTTAGATTTTATTTATTTATTTGACAGAGAGAGACACAGTGAGAGAGGGAACACAAGCAGGGGGAGTGGGAGAGGGAGAAGCAGGCTTCCTGTTTACAGAGAGCCCGATGTGGGGCTCGATCCCAGGACCCTGGGATCATAACCCGAGCCGAAGGCAGACGCCCCGCCAGGGTCCTACTTAGTGGGGAGTCTGCTTCTCCCTTTCCCTCTGCCCCTGTTCCTGCTCGTGTTCTCTCTCTCAAATAAATAAAATCTGTAAAAAAATAAAATAAAATCTTTAAAAAATAAATAACCATTATTATTATTATTTTGTATTAGGCAGGGAAAGAGCCTCAGATCTGGGATGGAACTAAATCTACCCATTGTCTGACCCTAGTGGGTGCACAGCTTCTTCCTGGGCAGTTGATAGGATGCAGTGGAGCTTTTTTTGAACCAGAGCTCCTGTCTCAGCTGTGTCTGCAGTTGCACTCCTGCCTGGGAAACTGATGTCATTTATCTCTGTTTCTTGGTTTGCAGCAAGTAGCATCTCTGATTGGGGCTGATCCTCGTGAGATCATTTTCACTAGTGGCGCTACTGAATCTAACAACATAGCAATTAAGGTAAGAGAACCAGAGGGCATATCTGGGCTTTCCTGACTTGGGAGATGGTGTCCCTCCATCATTTGGGCTCATAAATGTATTTCCCAGCTACCCACCCCTACCCTATTTTGAAAAAAGACACAGGCAAACATACGCTTTTTCTGATTTGTTGCTTCCTTCAATCCTCTGTGATCTACTCCACCTTAAATCTTTGTTCCTGTTGAACTAAGTTTAGTGAGGTAGTCGGATGTGAAAGGAGGAGGCTCTTTAACCATTAACCCTGGTGTTATGGGTGGAAGCTACTTCAGGGAGTGGATAATGGTGACTCAACCCTTTTCCTCATCCTTTTTTTCTTTTAAGATTTTATTTTATTTATTTTTAAAGATTTTATTTATTCATTTCAGACACAGAGATACAGAGAGAGAGAGCATGAGCAGGGGAAGAGGCAGAGGGAGAGGGAGAAGCAGGCTCCCTGCTGAGCCAGGAGCCCAATGTGGGGCTCGATCTTAGGACCCTGGGATCATGACCTGAGCCGAAGGCAGACACTTAACCATCTGAGCCACCCAGGCACCCCTAAAATTTTATTTTTTTAAGTAATTTTTATATGCAGTGTGGGTCTCCCACTCACAACCCCCAGATCAAGAGTCACACGCTCTACTGACTGAGCCAGCCAGGTGCCCCTTTCACCATCCTTTTGATCTAATCACAGTGAAGTCCAAAATCCATTTGCAATTGGGCATGCTTCTCTGCTTCTGGTTACCAGCTTTACACTTATATATGTGGTTTCAGGGCTGCCCTCCTCCCACCTTCCCTTTTATTCTGATGAGATCTATTTGTAGCAAGTTTTTCCTGTTTCTTTTTTTTTTTTAAAGTTTATTAAAAAGGGGGGTGGTGCCTGGGTGGCTCAGTTAGTTAAGCAACCACCTTCAGCTCAGGTCATGATCCTGGGGTCCTGGGATCGAGCCCCACATTGGGCTCCCTGCTCGGCGGGAAGCCTGCTTCTCACTCTCCCACTCCCCCTGCTTGTGTTCCCTTTCTCACTGTCTCTCTCTCTCTCTGTCAATTAAATAAATAAATAAAATCTTAAAAAAAAAAAGATTTATTTATTTTAGAAGGGGGAGGGGCAGAGGGAGAGAAAGTCCCAAGCTGACTCCATGCTGAGCACAGAGCCCAGCACAGGGCTCGATCCCATGATTCAGAGATCATGACCTGAGCTGAAACCAAGAGTCCAACCAAGAGTACAACGTTTAACTGACTGTGCCACCCAGGCACCCCTTTTAAAAAATTTTTAATTTGTGAAAGATTTTGTGTGTGTACATATATATATATATATATTTTTTTTTTTTTTAGAGAGAGCACGCACAAATGGGAGGTGGTAAAGGAAGGGCAGAGGAAGAGGAGAGAGAGACTCTCAAGCAGGCTCCGTGCCCAGCCTGAAACCCAATGCAGGGCTTAATCTCACGACCCTGAAATCATGACCTGAGCCATAATCAAGAGTTGGTTGCTTAACCAAGGGGCGCCTGGGTGGCTCAGTCAGTTAAGTGGCTGACTCTTGATTTCGGCTCAGGTCATGGATCTCCGGGTCCTTGGATTGAACCCCATGTTGGGCTCCCCACTCAGCAGGGGTCTGCTTGAGGATTCTCTCTCTCCCTCTGCCCCTCTCCACACTTGCTTGTGCTCTCTCTCTAAAATAAATTAGTAATTTTTTTTTTCTTTCTTTTTTTTTTTTATTCTTATGTTAATCCCCATACATTACATCATTAGTTCTAGATGAAGTGTTCCATGATTCATTGTTCGT